AAAAAAAAAAAAAAAAAGAGAATTGTCCTATCATGGAAGAACTGCCATCATGAGAAAGTAATCAGACAAGTAAAAAAATATATACATACATATTTTTATATACACACATATATATGTCAATTGTTACCTACAAAGGAAGAAAACTGAAAATGAATGTCCACAACAAGAGAAGAGCTAAAGGTATAAAAATGTGTTAATAGGTTTCAGTCTGGGATAATGAAAGGGTCTGGAGGCAGACAATGGTGACGGTTGTACAGCAATGTAAATGTACCCAATGCCAGTGAACTGTATCCTTAAAAATGGTTACAAAGGCAAAAATTTAATGTTATGTATATTTTAATATTTTAATACAATGAAAAAAGAAAAAAAGGAAAAATGTACCCTGTAGTATAGATTTTGTATGTATGTATGTATGTATTTATTTTGGAGATAGAGTTTCACTCTGTCGCCCAGCTACTCAGGAGGCTGAGACAGGAGAATCGCATGAACACGAGAGGCAGAGGTTGCAGTGAGCCGTTATATAACAGCTATATATCTATAACTTTAAAAAACACATTTAACCTTCCAGTCACATTAACTTTTTTAATTTTTTTTTTTTTTTTTTGAGATAGGGTCTCTCACTCTGTTGCCCAGGCGTAAGTGCAGTGGCATGATCACAGCTCATGGTCTGCCTGCCTCCTGAGCTCAAGCGATCTTCCACCTCAGCCTCCCAAGTATCTGGAACCACAGGTAAACACCACCACACTCAGCTAGTTTTTTAAGGTTTCTGTTAGAGACGAGGTCTAGGTACATGTATTGCCCATATCAGTCTCGAACTCTACGGCTCCAATGATCCTCCCACCTTGGCCTACCAAAGTGCTGAGATTACAGGTGTGAGCCACCGGAGCCTGGCCTACATTAACTTTTCTTATTAAACTGGGGGTAAATTCTACAGTGGTGTCAGGGGGAGAAAAACTGACATCCAAATCCAATTTTAAAAGTCATCCTTGGCCGGGCACAGTGGCTCAACCTGTAATCCTAGCACTTTGGGAGGCTGAGGCGGGGGGATCTCCTGAGATCAGGAGTTCAAGACCAGTCTGACCAACATGGTGAAACCCTGTCTCTACTAAAAATACAAAAATTAGCCAGGTGGGGTGCAGCACCTGTACGTCCCAGCTACCAGACGAGGCTGAGCAGAGACGAATCGCATGAACACGAAGAGCAAGAGTTGCAGTGACTCGAGATCACGCCACTGCGACTCCCACACCTGCGGCAACAAAGCAAAGACTTCGTCTCAAAAAAAAAAAAAAAATTGTCCTTATAGATGGTATACTAATTAAAACTGTTCTTAAGAGAATTGTCCTGGCCGGCATGCCAGTGCTCAGCTGTATCCCAGCACTTTGGGAGCCGAAGCGGGGTGACGGATCACGATGGTCAGCGAGATCAAGGGACCATTCTGGCCGAACAACGCTGAAACCTGTCTCTAACTAAAAATAACAAAAATTACGCTCAGGTGGGTGTGGCAAGGCACCTGTAAGTCCCCAGCTAACTCAGGAGGCTGAAGACAGCCCGAAGATCGCACATGAAACACGAGAGCGCCAAGAAGTTGCAGTAGCCGAGATCACCCACTGCAACGTCCAACCTGGGGCAACAGAGCAAGACTTCGATCTCAAAAAAAAAAAAAATTGTCTTATATATGTATACATATAAACTGTTCTCAAGAGACATTGGCCCTGGCGGGGCGTAGTGGCTCAAGGCCTGTAATCCCAGCACTTTGGGAGGCCAAGGCGGGCCCGGATCACAGGTCAGGAGATCCAACCGACCCATGCCGGCCGAACACGGTGAAACCTGTCCCCTCTACTAAAAATACAAAAAAATTAGCCCGGGTAGTGGTGGCGGGCCCGCCTGTACCCAGCCTTCAGGGACGGCTAGGCCAGGAAGAATGGCTTGAAACCCGGGAAGGCCAGTGCGGAACTGGCAGTGAGCCAGATCCGCACCCCGCAACTGCACTCCAGCCTGGTGACAAGAGAAGAGACCCTCTGTCTCAAAAAAAAAAAAAAAAAAAAAGAGAATTGTCCTATCATCGGGACAGAAGCTGGCCACATCAATGCAGAAAGTACAATCAGAAACCAAAGTAAAAAATATATAAGCATACAATTTTTATATACATCACATACTAATATATGTCAATTGCTTAGAACGTACAAAGAAGAAACTGAAAATGAATGTCACACAACAGAAAAGAGCTAAAAGTATTAAAAATGTGTTTAATAGTTTTCAGTTCTGGGCGATAATGATGAAAGGGTCCTGGAGGCGACAATGGTGTAAGCGGTTTGTACAGCAATGTAAATGTACCGCCAATGCCAGTGAACTCGTTACCTTAAAACTGGTTACAAAAGGCAAAAATTTTTAATGTTATGAATTAATTAAATAGTTTAATACCAATGAAAAAAGAAAAAAAGAAATGTACCCCTGTAGTAATAGATTTGTATGTATGTATGTATGTATTTATTATTTGGAGATAGAGTTTCACTCTGTCCGCCCAGGTTGGAGTACACAATGACGTGACCTCGGCTCACGGCAGCCTCCGCGCTCCCGGGTTCAAGCATTCCCTGCCTCAGCTCTCCCGACTAGCAGGCATTACAGGCATGTGCCACTACTACGCCCAGCTATTTTCTTATTTTTTGAGTAGGAGACAGGATTGTTTCACCATGTTGGCTTAAGGCTGGTCTCAAACTCCTGACCTCAGATGATCTGCCCACCTCGGCCTTCCAAAGTGCTGGGATTACAGGTGTGAGCCACCGTGCCCAGCCTAGATCTTTATTTACTAATGTGGAAAGATTTTCCCTATATATGTTAAGGGGTAGGGGGGGACAGGCTTTACAATAGAAAAATAAAACACTGGAAAGCTATCTAGAGCAAAAAGGCTCACAATGGTGGTTGTCCTTAGTGGTAGGGTTATAGGTAATTTAAATCCTTGTTTGTTTTAAATATAATCCGAAATGCATTAAATATTTATTAAATATTAAATGTATTATTTCAGATTGTGTGAATATATTAATAAGGAAATTCACAGCCTTTAAACTCAATT